CCCCAAAACCCCAAAACCCCAAAACCCCAAAACCCCTGTTTTCCCCTCTATTTTTGAAAAATAAGTAATTTTGACTCTAAAATTGATCAGAAAATACTTTTGATCATTTCGAAGCATGAAAAGCCTTGTGTATAGGAATAAAAGGCTTCTCTAGCTTTCGCTTACGATACATCTCTTGAAGCGCCACTTCATAGATCAGAAGCAGGCAGATGATGTATTAACAGTGAATTAGCTTAGTAAGATTGGGAGTTGTTTATCTTCTGCTCTATAAACTTCAATCCCATCGGATGGTGAGTTTGGTAACTCAAAAACTCTTCAAAGTGGCCCTCAAGTGCATTCTTATTCTGACAACACATTGGCATATCATAATTAAAAGGAATATTCATGAAAGGGGCTACATACTGGATTGTCGGTGCTAAGTCATGAAGTTGGAACCCAAAACTCAAGTAAATAAATTCTATAAACAGTTGATTGAATTCTGACTCCATGTCCAAGAATCCATTTGAAGAGTAAGTGAATTCATTTCAGACTTTTTGAATATTAAATTCTCCTGTATGAACCCCTAGAATCAGGAACATTATTGAGACAACAAGACCCCTAGGTTGGTATAATAAACAATTCTGGTCGAGGATGATCAAATCCATTATCTGCATAACCTCTCTGAACCTGGCATAAGAAGATTCATTTGAAGATTTGAAAGTCAGATCTGGACAATTTTGAATTACAATATGAGACATCGCATACTCATTTTCATTAATGAAAATATCCCACTGATTCATGTACCAATTTGCCCACATAGAATAGGTGGGAGGAGTCATGTACCATCCCAGCTCTTTCAGCATAAGTTTTTCCATTGCAACAATTTGCTCAACTTCGTATCCATTATCAGTACTTTTTGCAAAATCTGCAACTCTTGGAGAGTAAACCTCTTCCATTTTAGCAGCAATGAACATCGAAGTGACTCCGACAAGCTGTAGTTCTTCCTTCTTCACATGATGATGGTTGGAAAGAAACCTGTCGACATAGTTGATTGAGTAGTAATAGGTTTCTCTTTTTAAAGTGAACTCATTTCATACCTCCATCATCCAATCTAGAAGGATCGCCCTCATAATACTTGAAATCTCAGGTTGATTATTTTGGGAATATGAAGGATCAGGAGCATACACACCTTCAATAGAGATAAGATAGTTCAACAGTTTAGAAGCAGCAAGAGATCTCTGCTCTTCTAAATTTGGCATAGATGTCTTTTTCGATAAATCTCCAGTTTTTGACTCTCTCATAGTGGGAATCGGATCTGTGTCTATCCTTGGAGGTTTGATCATGTTACTATACTCCTGATACTTATAGTCATCATATTCCATACTCCCAGATTTGTTCTTTTCACTTGATTTGCTCTTACTTTGCAACTCCTCGTCACAATCGATTTGAGAGAACAAAAAGTCATCATCTCTAAACTCAGGATTTTGATCGATTTCTTCAAATCCATAGTTGAAATCATATTGTTCAGCAATAGAACTGATTCTTCGAGAAAATTCTTCGTCCTCTTGAGCCTTATTTCCATGTTTAGCAGGAGACTCCTCTTCAGGGTTCATGGTGAGAGAAATAAAAGGATCGCTATTCTCATTATTTTTATAATTCTTAATTACTTTTGGAATCTTCCTGGCTTTTAACTCAGGCTGGTCTTTATTCAAAATTACTTTATTATCTTTCAATTTACCGGTCACATTATTTTCTCGATGGTTACTCATATAACCGAAATCTGGAATAGTATCGTCAACTGGGTTATTTAGCACCGGCTTGTGATTCTGATACTCTTTGGAGGATTTGAATTTAACTAATCCTTGCTTGCCTTTAGTTGGATGAATAACTACCTTTTCCTCCTCTAAGTTGTAATTCAATCGATCTTCTTCATAGAGGTTTTCATCACATTCAAGACTGAGAAAATTATCGTCATCATCTTGTGTGCTAATTCCATGATGATTCATTACATCAGTCTGCTTGTAGTGTCCACGGCTGCTAGAACCTGACTTTGTAGTATTGCTCCTAAAGTTCCGGTCATGGCCTCCGATTCGAATATTGCCTTTGTTTGCTTTTGGCTGTTTAAAGTTGTTGTTATAGTAACATTCCGGGGCTTCTTCAGCTTCATCTCCAATATTTCATTCTTCATCTTCATCATTCATATCATCAGTGTTCAAAAATTGGCAGTTAATTTGTTGATAGTTTAAATCCCTTCTGTCACCTCCAGAGAGCTTCTCAATATTAGTATGAGGCATAGACATCTTATACGGGATATTCGCACTCTGCTTTCTTCTGTGCCTAGAATGAATATTAGGAGGCACTTCATAAACTTCGTTCATGGGACCTTTACGAGAGGAAGCTCTTTCAGTAGCAATTGTCCCCATATGCTCAGTTTCAAGATCAAAATTAGGAGAGATTCTTGCTTTCTCTTGGGCCTGGAGGTAATAATTATGGTTATCATTATCTCTCTTCTGGTTATATGGCTCTCATATGTATTCTGTGCGTTTTTCTTGGTAGTTTCTAGAGTCATCTATCCTCATTCCACTGAACTTTTCGGTATAATCCTCCTGAGGTTCCATCTTTTTGTTATAATATTTAGCATATCTATCTGTTTCCTCTTCCTTCTTTAGTTTCGTACGATAAGTACCACGAGCCGGGTTATATACCGGCGGTTTATTAGATTTGCCTCCTGAAGTATTCCTGGGTTTGCCTAATCATAAGTCAATTTTTATTCCCAAACAGAATTGTTACAAATAATGTGACGCTAAAAGCTTACTCTTCTTTGTCTTTTTCACAGTTGGTTTTATATAAGAAGAAATACGGCGGGTCTTGCCTTTAAAACTACCTCCTTTCATTTTAAATTATATATTTTACCAGAAATTATTTAAAATATATTCTTGAAATCTTTGGTGACATACTCGGGGTTTTGGGGTTTTGGGGTTTTGGGGTTTTGGGG